GAAATGGTGATGGAATGAGTTTGTCATCATAACCCTAAGTACATGTATGAAGACACGAATGGTGTGTAAATACTATGTGTAAATCAGTGGCTTGAAAAATTGTGCTCTATGTGTGTGATATGAAATGAATCGCATTCTGCCATTGTGTATAACAAGTTAGAATAAATAAACAATAAAAAAATCAAACAACCATATATTCTAACATGATAAGGGTGATGTGTTTATTTTAGGCTGTGATCCATGCTTCCCCATGCAGGCGTATATAAAATTACCAATAGAAGAGTTTAATCTAATATCAAATTTATTAACCTCCTTCTTCCCTCCCCGCACCACGGGCCTGTCATGTTTCAAGCAGATTTCTAATAACTACAACTATGATCATTTGACTTATTGCCAAACATATAATTTAGGGAATGGTGAGCTCTGAAAGATGAGCAATTACTTAAAACTTCCTTTGGATTTTAGGGTTTACACTCATCTGATCAGAGTTCCTCTCTAAATGTAGGTTCAGCACAAATGTTAAAGATGGCCCTTCTGCAGTTACATCCACTTTCTACTGAACCTGCATCCTGCAACTGTCTGAAATGGTGAGAATCAAATGAAATTCATGGCCTCCCTTTTAAAGCTTCACTAGGAAAGAACGTGACAAATAGACCTCCTCAGAGATCATGACGCTCTTGATACATATAAACTATTTTAGATTGCTTTCCTGCTTGAGAGTAATCAAGACCATCCTGCTAAAATTTATTGTGAAATTAGGAGTCAGTCAATAACTTCAAGGCCAAATTCACCTCAATTCATTTATTGCTTTTCCTATAACTAGTTTAATGTTGTAAGGCATTTTAAGTAGTTTGGAAATTTAAGTGTTTCCACCAGGATATATTAACTAGAAATATTTTCCCTTGCTACCTTCCTTGTCAAGTCGCAGACATCACATAAACATCTCACTAGAATTAAAACAATTGTATCAAGCACGTTGTGCATTTGAGTGAGTCGGGAGCAGCCTGGTGCATATGGCTACCTCCTACTGAACATGAAGCCCCTTTGCATTTTCTCTGGGTAAACCTTTGACTCCGTGGGAAGTGGCATGTGATATACTGTTCTTGTTGTATCCGTGATACCTAGAACAGAGACAGGAACTTAATACATTATTTCATAGGCAAGAATATTATAAAATACATATTTTAGCCAGACGTGGTAGTGCATGCCTGTAACCGCAACTATTTGGGAATAGAAAGGACTGGATTTGTAGCTCAGTAGAGTTCCACTGGATTCACTCCCCAGTACAGAAAAAATAGATAAATAAACAATAAAACACACTTTTGAGATAAAAACAAACAAACATACAAAAAACCCAAAGTCAAAGAAATTAAGTGACTTGTAGAGTATCAAATACTGAGGGTACCCCAGAAATCTGACTACAAATCTTCTTAATCGTATTTTCTAATATATTCTTCTCCAGCAATGAAATTTGTTTTATTTACCCAAAAGCCTATATCTGGCAATTCTACAATCTTCTGGGGTCCTTTTCATAGCTCTTTGAGGAAGTAGGTTTCATTCTAGGATAGTCTCTTTATTTTAAAGGAATGTACATTTTTATCATTTGGATAGAGAGAAGAGATGGCATTTACCTAAACCAAAGTGCCAACAAGTCAGCATGAGTGCACTCATTACTCAAAGTGGCCATGGACAGCCTTGACACCCAGCGAAGACCAGAATCAACTCCTTCATATCCCGTGGCCTCTCCTCTGCTGCCCCCTCCCCTGTACTGGGAGTTCTCCAGGATGTGCCTCCTGTTCACTAATCCTTGAAAATGCTTTGCTGTTGTTATCTAATAATTCTGATCACACATTGATTTTTCCCTGAGAACCATACAATGTTGAATATTTGGAGCTTAATAAGCAAAACTCCTCAAATTACAAACTTACAGGATTTCCTATTAGGAAAAAAAAGAGACATGTAAACATTCTGATCCTTTTTAACTTCACCCATTGAAACACTGAAGCTTGAAGGCAAAGTGATCCATTTGAGGCTAATAGGTATATTATGTAGTGTATGAAATATGTTATAGGAATTAACGAGTGTGTATTACATTAGGAGATGGTAGTGTTTAAGAGAAGAGGAAGGACACTGGAAGATACAACTTGGGTAAAAACTTGAAAGTGAGGTGAAGCAATACAGGCAGAGTTAGTTCAGGCAAGAGCAAGCCTGAACTAGGAACAGCTAGGAGCACTACGTAGCCAAAAAGAGAGTATAGAATCCAATGTGGTGGAGGTCAGAAAAGTGGGAGTGGTGTGGTGAGAAGATCCCTAGAGCTTAAAAGCTTTAGGAGTTGGAAAGAACAAAGAACATATTCTAAGAGCCTGCAAGAAAGTATATAATAAATGCCAGGGAAAATCCATAAAATGGAAATTGAGAAGAATTAGGCAAGTTAACAATATTCAAAATTGATTCCTTTAACAGATTACCAATAATCAAACTTCTGGCCAAACTGATAATAAATAAAGGAAGAAATTACACATATGTAATATTTGAATAAACCACAGTGATATGGATAAAGTTGGAATGTAAACAATAAGAAGAGGATGTCATCAACAATTTTTTACCAATTAATATCTTACACAGACAGAATAGATGAATTCAAAAAGAATACATGTTTTCAAAATGGGTACAATAAGAAATAGAAAGCCTAAATAATTTTACCAATATTAAAGTAATTTAAATAATAGTATGGTATATCAAAATAAATACCAGACCAATATAGCTGGCTTTAGAGTTTTTGTATGGGCAGTTCCAAATTTAGATGATTCTCCTCTGGAGGAGAAAAGAAGGAATTCCCCACTCCCCTTTTTCAGAATGACCTTGAATTGAAAGCCAGAGAGTGGAGACTGGCAATAGGAAATTTCAGCCTGCATAACTCAGAAATAAATATAAAACTCTTAAACAAAACATTAGCAAATTAAATCAAGCAACATACAAAATAATATAATCCCCATAATCAAATCAGATATGAATCAGGACAACAAGAACAGTTTATAGAAAATCTAAAATTTCCATTTATCATATTAAAAAATCAAAAGTGAAAAATTCCTGGCTACATGTGAATAACTGAAAAATAAGAATTTGGTGCAGTTCACCATAAATATATAGGTCAAAAACTGTCATTAAATTAAGCATAAAATCAAATTTGACTTGATAAAGCAAATGAAGGCTATTGAAAATCACCTCCATGAGCTGCTCCCTACATGGGGAAGCAGTAGGAGCATTCTGTTTGGAATCAGGACCACAAAACCGTCTTGAATCAAGGATTTTATGCTCATGACAAAAAAGCAAAAACAATTCACCAAAGGAAATTCTGACACTGGGAATTCAGAGAGCACTGGATGGTGGATGCCTTTCAAAGCCAGTGCAGAGGCAGGAAATACGTTGCAAAGTCAACATAATCTTATTTTCCATTGGTAAAGACCCAGTTACAGCTGCTTTACTAAAGTAACGATATCTCTTTCCGTCTTCTCTCACTGCTGGGCTTTCAGAACCAAGCAGTGATTTAGATGGTGGTTCTCTCCTCCGACACTGTGCAAACTCTAATTTCACAGAAGATGAATGTGGAATTAATGGGCATGAGAATTAGCTTTCGATGTTATGCTCTCTTCAGATTTCCTTGAAGAGACTCCAAAATAGAAAGTAATGGGAGGGTGGATACGAAGGACACAGGGCCATTTAGCAGATCCCTTTCCAAGGGAAAAAAAGGTGGGCAGTAGGTGGTACAAAATTAATGGTTAAATTAGGAAATATCAACCAGTTATCTTTCTTCCCTTAATGGACTACCCTCCACTATCCTTCTTCCCCATTGAATTTATGATAAAAAACTCTAACTTTTATAGGGGTGGGACCCGGACAAGTTACTCAGGCTGTCAGTTTCCTGGGCTGCTTAATGAATTCCCATAAACTGGATGACTTATAACAACATCAATTTATTTTCTCAAGGTTCTGGGGGCCAGAAGCTCAAATTCAGTATCCCTGGACCAAAGGCAAAGTCTTGTTGGGGCCCCCTCCCTTCCTAATCTCGAGGGGAAAGTGTCTCTCTCCCAGGCTCTGGTATCTGCAGTGATTCTTGGCTGAGGGGCCACCACAACAAGGCCAGGATCTCCAGATCTCTCCCTGCCCCATCTTCATGTGACACTCCCCTCCGTATGTGGTCAGATCTCCCTCTGCCTCCCTCCTGTAAGGATACATGTGATTGCATTTGGGGCCCATCTAGTTAATCCAGGATAATCTTCATATCTGGAGATCCTGAACTTTGCATACCCCAGGTAACATTCATAGGTTCCAGGGATTAGGATATGGTATCTTTGGGGCCCCCCACTCAGGTCTTCTCTGAGCTCCTCCAAGTTTCAGTTTTGTTACCTGTAATGCAAAGCCAGACACTGAGGTGGGGTGTTCTAGGGTTAAGTGGGTGGTTCATTGATCTGTACTCACACAAACATAAACACAATTTCAGCACCCTCAACAACTGGAGCTTAAAAGACCATCATTGGGCTGGGCTTGCTGCTTGGTGGTAGAGTATTTGCTTAGCATGCACAAGGCCCTGGATTCTGTCCCCAGCACCACACAAACAGAAAATAATAACAGCAAAAAGGTCAGGATTGAGCTCCATAAAACTTTGTGAACAATGGACATTTCTTAACTCTGTGACTCTGAAGCTCTCACAGATATGACTAATTTTACATTCTGTTTCATTTCTATCTCAGTAATATCTCCTTTCAACTTCTTTTCCTGGTTGTTTGTTCCCAAATTCCAAGGCAAGGATGCAGTGGTGCATTGCACATTGCCTTTGCATGTAGAGTGAGACAGATTTTTTAAGAGGAGACAGATAAGGTGATGGACATGACGTTATTTAATTAGTGAAGTGTGATGGGAGAACAGAGAAAGAGCATCCTTCCTACCTGCATTTCCTGCAAATCATGCTTTGCCCATCTTTGCAAGGTGCACTACCAGGGAATTTTTATTCATATCGATATCATCTTTTCAAATTTTTACCTGAGTACAAAAGGCAGAATAACTGGAGTTGACGTCTCTCCCATGTGCTAGTTTCTTTGTTTGCTTTTGCTTCCGCTGGTTTGATTGCACAGATCATATCTCCTGCTATCCTGTTTTCTGCTCAGGACAGGAACAGCAGAGGAGGCCTTTTTTACTTTGAGATAACTGCAATTCAACCTCATCAAACAGGAGATAAAAAAGCAAGAGTATATCTCCAGCATACAGGATTAATTCAATTTGTTAAGACTCTGCAAGATGACCCAAAATGTGCCCATGTGGAGAGCAGGCAGGTGCAGAGACTCATGGGCTGGTTACAGATGAAAGTACTACCAGGTCCCTCAAAAACTGAGCATTTGATCTCCCGGTCAACCTCTTATTCCCTATCTGAGTGTTTTCCATTCTGTGCTTCATGACCTTAGGGTAAAGGAACACAGACACCCTGGATTACTCAATGGCTGACAAATGTGACCCTGTATCCTTACATTAACATCTCCCTGGGCCTCACTTTATCATCGAGTCCCTGAAATAGTGAGCAAAACTATTCTTCAGCCACCTATTTGTGTTGTAGGATTTGCAATCTGAATTCTATTGATTTCACCAAAAGCAAAACCACTTTAAATAAATCACCTAATTAAATGACATCTCATGAATCCCTCGTCTTCAGTATTCATCCATCTGTTAGGTTTTGTAAGGTTTTCTGCCCCTGACTTGGTCCCCCTACATTTTCCCATTCCTCGCTTCTATCTTCCAACACTACTCCAAGTCTATTCTAAGCTCTCTCACTTTTTAATTTTTTTTCTTCCTTGTTCTAGAACGCTCCTTATGTTGTGACTTTAGTATTTCCTTCTTTTTATCTCTTTACATTCTATCCTTCACATCTGCTCTGTTTCAGCCATGGAAGGCCTTTGGTAAAAGAGGAAATGGTAAGAAGACAGAAGTATTTTCTCCAGCATGGATCTCTTCCTCTCACTTCAGATGCCTCCTGCTCATCTTTACCTGCCTGCACATCTCCAGCTCAACAGGCTTAAAACAAAGCTAATTATCTTGACCTTCAAACCACCCCCTCCCCTTTTTCCATGTCTATTAATATCACCCTTTACTAACCTCTCAATAAACCTGACTTAATACCATCCATGCATTTGTAACTTCTCCTTCTACCTCCAGTCAGGAAATTCTGCAAAGTCTTCTCCATTTGGTCACTAGACAAGTGGCCAAATGTACTTCCCAGCTTTCTTTTCAGCAGCTAAAAGACAAAAACTAACATTCTTGAGTCTCATAATACTGAAGGGCATATGTTACTTGATTTATTCCTCTTAAAAAAAATTAAACTGAAACTTCCATTATCCTGAATTTTCAACTGTGCTAACAGGCTAAGTAATTTGCCAAACGCCACTTCTGCTATATGGTGAGACCAGGAGGGGACCCAGGTCATATCAAGCCAATTACCCTGTTTTGTACACTGCAGCTTGACACTTTCTGGAAGATTGCTAAGCTGGAGCCACAATTCTTAGTGTTCCCTTACCAAGTTCTTACAAATACACCTCCTAGTAAAAGCAAATGACATCTTAAAGTTTTCTGAGAATTGTTTGTACAGCCAATTATTTCCACAAAAATTTTTCTCATCCCCAGATCCCAGGTGAATTGACAACTGCGTCAGGCAGGACTTTCTCACTAGAAGAATAACTTCCTGCTGGATATCTGAGTCTCTGTGTTTATGCTGCTTCCTAGACACAGAGGTCATCTGGCACCCAGAGTGCTCACGTGCAAATTTTGTGTCTCTTCATTTCCCGAAGAAATGTCTATCACAGAGCCTTAACCACAGCAGATGCACAATATGTCTTTGCAGAATAAACCATTAACCAATAGGCTTTGGTTTCTTATGTAAATAATTTAAAAGTTTTGATTCTTTAGAAGTATTTTGGACATGTCCACGGTGTGGAATGGTTCAGTTCCTATCCCTTGACACCCAATTCAGCTTACAAAGACAATGCCAAACAGTTTCACCCATATCTTTACTCTCCCACCCAAGCCCTCCTTCTGAATTTCATGTACCTCGTTCTCCTTCATTCAGGTTTCAGTTTATTCTTGAGTATGAACTAATCCCCAGATATTTTTCAAGCATGCCCCCCAGTGCCAGCAACTGCAGCAGGAGGCAGAATTGATGTGGTGCTTATCAGAGCCTCTCCTAGATCTGCAGATGGACTCCTTCAGGACTGCTGGAGTAACGTTCATTTGGAGCATGAAGTTAATAATTATTTTTAGTCTACAAAAACATCTATGGTCAGCATCTCGGTTCCCAAGAGAAAAACACAGGAACATTTCTGTGACACCAGCTGTTTCATTGGGCCTGAGAAGACTCAGCTAGACCTCCTTGTTCCTGTTTCTCACTGACATATTTTTATCCAGAAATGGAATATGTATCGCAATTTCCTCTCTAAGAGACATTCAGCCTGCTATGTAATAGCTTGAAAAAAATGTTTTTTCCCTTGCTACTTTCAGGCAGTTTTTAAAATGTGGGACATCAGGGGCAAGAAGTCCTGGTGTACTGTTGCACATAGGGAGATTGTAGGTGACAATAATGTACTGTATATTTTTAAAAGGTAGAAGAACCGACGTCCAGTGTTTTCAACACAAAGAAATGAGAAATGTTTGAGGAGAAATATTTGTTTGCTTAACCTGATTTGAACAATGCATGATGTATGCATGTATCAAAACGTGATAAGGTGTCCAGTACAATTTCTGTATTTCTAAGTACCAGTTTAAGAATAAATTTAACTAAAAAAAATTTGTAAACATCTTCTCTGGATCTTAAGACATTATTTATAACATAACTATGGTTACATTAAGATATTTGCACTATAAATAATATACACTCTTTAATAATATATTATAATATGTAATATAATGTAATAAGAATTTCATACTTTGATATTTTTGTTATGCAATTGTATGTATGGGTATGCATAATACTTTAAATATTTTTATTATTTTTAAAAATATGTTTTATAAAGAAAAATAATACCTATGAACATACCACCCAACTTAAGAAATAGTTATAATAAAGCACATCAAATTATGATCTCCCTCTACATAAGGTCTCTGTCCTTATTCCCCGAGTTTTTTTTTATTAACTCATTTGACTTCTGTAGTTTATTCCAAAATACTGCATTGTGATGTTTTGCTTATTTGAGGTTTTATATAGTAATGCTATGTACTATAGGAGGTCATCTACAACTTTCTTTTGTGACTAAATATTAAGTATTGAATCAGGTAGCCATAGTTCAATTTTTTGATCTATAATATTTTCTTTTTATGTAATAATTTATTGACTTATTTTCTTGTCCGATTATTTTGATATAATGTCACAGTTTTGATGCAACAGTTAATAAATAAAAATTCTTCTGTGTATGTTACCAGGTTCACATGTATAAGTTTCTCGTGAAAATGCAATAGAGCTAAATTACTGGCTGTTAAAGTATACAACTATTTAAATCAATGAGACAGTGTGTTGTATTCTACAGAAGTTGTACCATGTCATAACCTCAGCTGAAGTGTATGTGCTTTATTGATCTACACTGTCAACAATGCTTGGTATTACTAAATGTCTTGACAAGCTAATGAATGCAAATTAGTAGTTCAGCATGAACTAAACTTACAATTTCATGATTGCTGAGAATATAAGCCATAACTTCATTTATTTTTAAGAAATTCTTATTTCCTTTCCTGGGAAACATTTGTTCATTTCAGTTGAACTTTTTCTTCTAGATTGCCTGTTTTTTTTTTCCCCCTTCAGGGATTTGTAGGGATTCCTTGTTTTGGTCAGTACTTTAGCTAGGTTAAGGTGTTATGGGTTGCTTTTCCCACTTTTTACATTGTCATTTCACCTGTCTTTTGATGAATGGAAATTCTTAATCCTGATATGATCAAATTTTCCAAGTTGTAATTTAATGATCCAAATCACCCATATTCTCCTGTATTTTCTTCTAAGAGTTTTGACATTTCTCTTGTGTTTCTAAGCATATATTCAGAATTATTATTATCTATAGAACAAGAATAATGCCATGTTCTATCTTCTATATTAGTAACCAATGTTCCAGCAAAGTATACTGAATTTATTTTTTCCATTATTATCTAGTGCTACTTCAGTTATATATCAACTTTATAGAATCCTGTGGTCCATCTCCTACATTTATGACCTCTACTACGACTCCCAGCTAGATTCCTATTTGATATTTTTTCCATAAATGAGATTGATATTCCCTATGTTTCTGTTCTTGGATTTGCTTTTTGGGTTAAACCATAAAATACTGTTGGTACTTGGCTACTTTTGACCCACAGAAATAAAAATATTACATTGTTCAAACTAAAATTGAATCTCTGAAACTTCTAATACCTCCAGCTGTAATATCAGTACTGCTCAATAAATATATAATTCTCCCCTAGTATCCCTCTGTGGCTTTAAACCCCAAATTTTTGTCTTTTTGCTAGAGGCTACCAATTTTGTGCTACTCAATAGTATGGAAAGATAGAGGAGCTAAGCAGATGGAGATCAAAGTGTCAGTTGTTGTAAAGATTTTTCTTTTCTTATGGCCAATTAAGTTCTCATCTGACTGACCTTACCACAGACAGCAACCACCAACCAAAAAATAGGAACAGAAGGTCTAGTTAAAGACAATAGGGAGTGCCAGAAGAGTAGGCGACATGCAGAGGGAATCCAGTATTTGAACGAAGGGCATGGTATGGAACATGTTTCCCATTTTATGGCTTTTTACTAGCATAAAGGCAGACCACAATCAGTGACAGATGGAGGTAAAAAAGAAAAAAAAATTCTGAAAAAGCTAACATATTTCCATCCCCCCAAACCAGAAGACATTTCAGAATAGCAACAGGTATTGGTCAGGGGCTGGGGTTGTAGCTCAGAGGTAGAGCACTTGCCTAATACTTATGGGGCAACTGGGTTTGATCCTTAGCATTACATAAAAATAAATAAACAAAATAAAGTTATTGCATCTATCTACAAGCTTAAAAATTAAAATAGAGGTATTGGTTGGTATAGTAGGAACATGACTAAGAAGCAAGCTAGACAGAGTTTCAAATGTGGTAGGTACTCACTAGCAAAATCTGTTGGTGAAGTCTGAATCCCACAGGCATGGAGAAGACTCAAAGCAGCACAGTTACAAATGAAAGAATAGAACTGAGATTACTACTTAACCAAATGCCACATAGTTTGCATTTGATTCCAACAAAGTGATTTTCCTGGTAAGACAGACAAAATAAAAATCAACACACTCTGGGTTATAACAGAATTAAATGGCTGGATACAATCCAAAATCATATAATATGATTTGGATCTTATGATCTAAACCAAAATCCTGTGCTATATGAACCAAGAAGATGTAAAATAATTTCAAAGAGATTCATATGTTGGTATTAATATTCAAACATTTTACAGCAGTTATTAAAATTATGCTCAATGAACTAAAAGAAATATGTTCATCGTGAATAAAAGCAAAATATCAATCAAGAAAAAAATGGAAATTGGAAATTCTAGAAGAGAAAAATAACATTGGTTATAAAGACCCCTGGATAGGCTTATCAGTAGAATGGAGTCCAACAAGGCAAGATAAAATGAACCCAAAGTTCAGTCAACAGAAATGATCAAGTCATAGCTGCTCTGGTTTGGATAATTGTCCTGTAGAGGCCCACGTGTTAAGACTTGGTCCCTAGAGTGGAAGGAGGTGGTGAGGATGAGCCTTTATGAAGTGGGCCTTGTTGGAGATACTGAGGTAATTGGATCCTGCCCTCCAAGGGTCTCCCTCTTTTCCTTTCCTTTTGGCTTCACTTCCTAGCTAAGGAGGTGAATAGTTTGTGCTGCACAAATCCCTGCCATTGCTATTGGGCCAGCAAAGATCCAAACCAATGGATCCACCCAGTGTTGGACTGAAACTTTCAAAAAGCCAAAATAAATCCTTCTCTTCTTAAGTTAATTGTCTCAAATATTTAGTTATAGTGATGTGAGGCTCATACAACAGCAAGAAAGGAAAAATGAAAAAAAAAGCTGCTAGATCTCCACAGATCCATGGGACAATAGCAAGGTTTAAAACACATGTATTATTGGAGTTCTAGACAGCATGATGCATAAAAGTTAAAATATAAAAGCAAAAAGGTTTCTCATACTTGTTGAAAGTAATAAATCTACAGAATCAAGAAACTCAAAAAAACATTAAGCAAAATAAAGGTGAAGAAAACCATGCCTCATCATACCATATTCGAATTTGAAAACACCAAATATAAAATACTGAAAGAAGCCATAGGAAAATGATGCAGTGCTTACAAAGAAATAGTTTTAAATAAAGTCTGATTTTGCACAAAAAGTCAATACCTAATAGTGTGGATTTTTAAGTGCTGAAAGAACAAAACTACCAACACACAATATTCTTTATTAAGCAAAAATGTCATTAAGAATGATGAATTAAAAACACTTTTATATAAAAAAAAGCTAAATGAAATACTCTTCAGAAGATATTCACTATAAGAGACATGAAGGAAGTTCTTCAGACTGAAGGGAAATGAAGCCAAATAGATAATGGGATAAGCAGGAAGACTGGGTAGCATCTGAACTGGGGAAGTGTGGATTATGCATATTTTAACAATTTTTTTGAAGCACATGATTGTTTTAAAGTAAAAATTATAATGCTGTCATACAGAATTTACATGGTATGTATTTAGTACATATAACAAATATAGCATAAGGTACATGGAGACACATGAGCTTTAACTGTTGCAAGAATTCTGCTTCAACGTGAAGTGATGCAGTAGTAAGTGTAAGCAGTTTATGCAAAGTAAAAGATTACACATCAAAAATAATGCAAAGGAGTATAACTGAAATGCACGCAGATTAGTGTAGAATTCTAAAAGTGTTCATGTTGTTTAAACAGGAAAATCTATGAAAGGTAGAAGATCAAGAAATGGAGAAATAAAGCAGAAAACAATATAGTGAAAGGCCTATATTCAATCATGTCAAAAAATGACATGAATTGTTATGGGCAAAATATTCTAATTAAAAGGCCAAAGAGGCAGGAGTTTTCAGAACTATATGCTGCTTATACAAACACCTGTGTTTAAAGATAAACACAAAAAT